TCATTTTGTGAGTTTAGTCTTGTTGATATTTGGGAGTGATATGTTGATGAGTGTTTTGTGATTTGCTGAGAGTTTGATTGCCTGTTTTGAATTATTCCACATGTAGTTATTGATCTTAGTCAAGTTCAGAAGTTCTATTTTTGGTCAAATTTTATTATAAGAAGGTACATTAAAAATGTGGGTAAGTGTTTATCACCTGTTTGCATTATGTGCATGTACATGTATGTATTAAATTTAAGGCTAAAATTATGTAAAAGCCAAAATATAATGTAAAGCTTTTGTAATAGGCAACAAGCACAATAGATCATGCATGAAGGATGCTCCACTTACATTGTACATGTACATGTATGTTATCTTTAGTCCCGACAACCTAAATGAATTTTGTACTCATGTACATGTACACATAAATGAACACAAAACCAATGATTTATTCTAGCTACATGTATATTTTATTTGTCTATTTTCATGTACATTAAATTTCTTACTTTCTCTTTCCCTCCATACACAATCCCATCCTTTCAAGTGTTGTCCTACATGTACATGCATTTGTGCTTATATCAAAATAAGACTATTGTCAAAGCCTGAAATTAGAGTCAGACATTTTCTGACAATTTTGCTTAATTAGCCAATCAAATTGTGTATTGTTCTACCATTTTGCCTGAACAAAATAATTTTAAATGATGTTCTAATTTATAATTGATTATTAAAAGAAATTTATCATAATAAGTTAATAACTAATAATTAATCATGTCCGACTGCAGGTTTTCCCACAAAGCATGCTAAGTGAGCTAAGCATGCAGCATGAGTATTATGAGCTGACAATTACTACAATACAGTACATTGCATTTTGAACATTCAAAAAAGTCTAATTTTTATTGGAATCAGCTGTAGTCTTCTACACAACATAAGTTTGTGTAAGTGTATCTGAAAAATTTTTAGCCATTTCTTACAAAATTTGGCCAAAGGCTATAATAGTCTTTGGTCGTTGGCCCAATATTTTAAAATACGCGACAAAAATTTGTATAATTTTTTAGAAAAATTATAAAAATAGAAAATTTTCTCCTAGCCATTTTTAGCAAAATTTAACCAAAGGCTATTTTTTCAAGAACTTAAAAATGATTCAAAAAATCCAAACTTGATCAGAATTTGTTAAAATTTTCTAAGTACATTTTTGTATCAGTAAAATTTATAAAGATGAAGAAAACTCTTCTTGTGTTTATTGTTGTAATACATGTACCCTGGACATGTATAAGAGAATTTTTCCCAGTTTTTGAGCACCTTAACAATCCACTGACATGAAGCTGCAGGAGCACTTTGCTAAAATCATGTGGAAAACACTGTACGATTGTTTCATAAAAATGGCAGATCAAATTAAACAATGTTCCTGCCTTATGGTTAACTGTTCTTTCTGAAATGAATACAGGCCCGTAGCCAGGGTTACAAAAAGGGGGGTGACAAAATATGAGTTACATGAAATGGGGGGTGACAAGTTGGACTGGATGCACATGAAATACCACAAATACATGTTTGATTTAAGCAAACAAACAAAGGTACTAACTCAAAAGGGGGGTGACATGTCACCCCAATCACCCCCCCTGGCTACGGGCCTGGAATATCCAGTTATTTCATTCTTTATCTAATCTTTAGCATTGTGAAAGAATGTACATGTAAAATAAACACCACACGCACATGCATGTACATTATACATTACTCATTAAGTCCTCATTCCTTTAGCCCTATTTCTCCCTCCCTCCCTCCCTCCCTTACGACTATACACATGTAAAGCTTTCTTTCTCAAAATGTGTTTGTGCTATTATTATATTTTATGTATTTTATGTATACTCTATGGAATGTCCACATGCCATTAGTTGCATGATTTCATTTGCTTATACCCAAATAGTCCTGTTACAAATAGATTGCTTTGCTTAACATTTAAACTTGAATGTGCATGATGGTACTCAATCTATATTTATCCTCTTTCATTTTATTTCTCTTTATTCAGTCGTTCTCTTTCTTCTCCCTCTCTCTCAGACTGGAAGCTGCTCTCAAACTGCAATCGTATATACCATTGAACACCAACACAACTTTTAAGTTATGAGTTCATTTTGAAATTATTATTATTATTATTATTATTATTATTAATTATTATTATTTTTGTTAAATGAACTGATAATAATTGTATTGTTATTCTTGTTCTGTACCTCATTCCTCACCATTATCTACATGCATCACTATGATCAGTGACTATATGTACACAGCCAAGAATTATCATTCTGATACAGTGGTATATACTGCCCAGAATCAATGAATCAGGCCTGGATACAGTCCTGATAGCTTATCAGGGCAGTAATCAGGCCTGATTTATTGATTTAGGGCAGTACTACATGCATGTATCAGCATCATAACTCTTGACTGTGTACCTCCACTCCTCACCCTCTCTCTACGTTATCACAAGAGTTCATCAGTACAACTTGAGCTTGATCATGATCAGAGACTGGTATGTACCTCCACTGATGATATAATGTAATTGTCATTGTAATCAGAGAACAATAGAAAATAATCATAACAATCTACTATAATTATTATTATTATAACAATCCATAGATATGGATCTATGTACAATCTAATATAATAGTAATAATAATAATAATAATAATAATCGTAACAATCTACTATAATATTAATAATATATAATAACAATCCATAGATACGAATCTATGAACAATTCAATATAACAGTAATAATAATAATAATAATAATTGTTTAAATTTAAAATTTTAACAACATAAAATCACGATTTAGCTCGGCTTGGTCTTTCATTTGCTTGAATGCATTGATTTCTTTTATCTCACTTGAAGATGGCCTGTCAGAAATAGGCTTTAACATCAGCTCCACAAGTTTTGCCTAAAATAAATATAATCACACATTATAAAAATTTGATCATCAGTAGTTTTTTATAGACAGGTTATACATCGTATAACGGGAAGTTTTGAAGGGAGTTAAATTTGGCAAATTACTAAATTTTGGTGATTAGCGAATTTTAATTTGGCGAATTAGTGGCCATGTGCCATTGAGCATGCGTATAATGGCTCAAAATGGCAGCTTTTATTTTGGTGAATGGCTATCAAAATGCCAAATTTAATTCCCTCCAAAATTTCCCGCTATACAGAATTCTATTGTGCCATTATTACTTCATTATGAAGATTTTCTTTAAATTCCTTTGGAAGTCTTCTGTTATTCTTTACATCTTCTAAAACCTACATATAACAATAGTATGTAAATCTTCGGCCAATTCATATACCCCATACTTACTTTAACCCTTTCCATTCGTGTGCTAAAAGGAAAGTAAAGTTCAAATAAAATTATTCCAAGTGAATAAACATCAGCCCTTTCATTATACCGATGACCAGCTTCCTGCTCTGGGCTGACATAAAATGAAGTTCCGATCTCACTAGTATGACTACCCTGAACATCTATTATGAAATGAAAATGATGAAGCACAGCACTATATGCATGTACATGTACCAGTTTGGGGAGCACTGTGCTTAATTGCTGCATTTTGTTTCACCAAGCCAAAATCACCAACTTTAATGCTATCATTCATAGCAAATAATATATTTGATGGCTAATAAATAAAGAAAATTGAAAATAGATAAATGTACATGCAACACATTAAAGGGCGAGCCTAAGCAAGTATAAAGCATTACACATGTACATGGTTGATATCTGCTTTCCTTGTTGATATCTGCTTTCCTTGCTGATGCCAGTAAGCTTAACACTTGCTGCCATTTAATAGTTGCCATTTATTTCACTAGCTCAGCTGCATGTGCAGTTGAGCACTAAACCACATCCTGTGAGAAACCCTGGTCCCTGGAATGTCATCTAGCTTGCTCAGGCTCACCTCAGTAAAAATTATTAACAATAGATACATGTA